TAGTAGTAGTAGTAGTAGTAGTAGTAGTAGTAGTAGTAGTAGTAGTAGTAGTAGTAGTAGTAGTAGTAGTAGTAGTAGTAGTAGTAGTAGTAGTAGTAGTAGTAGTAGTAGTAGTAGTAGTAGTAGTAGTAGTAGTAGTAGTAGTAGTAGTAGTAGTAGTAGTAGTAGTAGTAGTAGTAGTAGTAGTAGTAGTAGTAGTAGTAGTAGTAGTAGTAGTAGTAGTAGTAGTAGTAGTAGTAGTAGTAGTAGTAGTAGTAGTAGTAGTAGTAGTAGTAGTAGTAGTAGTAGTAGTAGTAGTAGTAGTAGTAGTAGTAGTAGTAGTAGTAGTAGTAGTAGTAGTAGTAGTAGTAGTAGTAGTAGTAGTAGTAGTAGTAGTAGTAGTAGTAGTAGTAGTAGTAGTAGTAGTAGTAGTAGTAGTAGTAGTAGTAGTAGTAGTAGTAGTAGTAGTAGTAGTAGTAGTAGTAGTAGTAGTAGTAGTAGTAGTAGTAGTAGTAGTAGTAGTAGTAGTAGTAGTAGTAGTAGTAGTAGTAGTAGTAGTAGTAGTAGTAGTAGTAGTAGTAGTAGTAGTAGTAGTAGTAGTAGTAGTAGTAGTAGTAGTAGTAGTAGTAGTAGTAGTAGTAGTAGTAGTAGTAGTAGTAGTAGTAGTAGTAGTAGTAGTAGTAGTAGTAGTAGTAGTAGTAGTAGTAGTAGTAGTAGTAGTAGTAGTAGTAGTAGTAGTAGTAGTAGTAGTAGTAGTAGTAGTAGTAGTAGTAGTAGTAGTAGTAGTAGTAGTAGTAGTAGTAGTAGTAGTAGTAGTAGTAGTAGTAGTAGTAGTAGTAGTAGTAGTAGTAGTAGTAGTAGTAGTAGTAGTAGTAGTAGTAGTAGTAGTAGTAGTAGTAGTAGTAGTAGTAGTAGTAGTAGTAGTAGTAGTAGTAGTAGTAGTAGTAGTAGTAGTAGTAGTAGTAGTAGTAGTAGTAGTAGTAGTAGTAGTAGTAGTAGTAGTAGTAGTAGTAGTAGTAGTAGTAGTAGTAGTAGTAGTAGTAGTAGTAGTAGTAGTAGTAGTAGTAGTAGTAGTAGTAGTAGTAGTAGTAGTAGTAGTAGTAGTAGTAGTAGTAGTAGTAGTAGTAGTAGTAGTAGTAGTAGTAGTAGTAGTAGTAGTAGTAGTAGTAGTAGTAGTAGTAGTAGTAGTAGTAGTAGTAGTAGTAGTAGTAGTAGTAGTAGTAGTAGTAGTAGTAGTAGTAGTAGTAGTAGTAGTAGTAGTAGTAGTAGTAGTAGTAGTAGTAGTAGTAGTAGTAGTAGTAGTAGTAGTAGTAGTAGTAGTAGTAGTAGTAGTAGTAGTAGTAGTAGTAGTAGTAGTAGTAGTAGTAGTAGTAGTAGTAGTAGTAGTAGTAGTAGTAGTAGTAGTAGTAGTAGTAGTAGTAGTAGTAGTAGTAGTAGTAGTAGTAGTAGTAGTAGTAGTAGTAGTAGTAGTAGTAGTAGTAGTAGTAGTAGTAGTAGTAGTAGTAGTAGTAGTAGTAGTAGTAGTAGTAGTAGTAGTAGTAGTAGTAGTAGTAGTAGTAGTAGTAGTAGTAGTAGTAGTAGTAGTAGTAGTAGTAGTAGTAGTAGTAGTAGTAGTAGTAGTAGTAGTAGTAGTAGTAGTAGTAGTAGTAGTAGTAGTAGTAGTAGTAGTAGTAGTAGTAGTAGTAGTAGTAGTAGTAGTAGTAGTAGTAGTAGTAGTAGTAGTAGTAGTAGTAGTAGTAGTAGTAGTAGTAGTAGTAGTAGTAGTAGTAGTAGTAGTAGTAGTAGTAGTAGTAGTAGTAGTAGTAGTAGTAGTAGTAGTAGTAGTAGTAGTAGTAGTAGTAGTAGTAGTAGTAGTAGTAGTAGTAGTAGTAGTAGTAGTAGTAGTAGTAGTAGTAGTAGTAGTAGTAGTAGTAGTAGTAGTAGTAGTAGTAGTAGTAGTAGTAGTAGTAGTAGTAGTAGTAGTAGTAGTAGTAGTAGTAGTAGTAGTAGTAGTAGTAGTAGTAGTAGTAGTAGTAGTAGTAGTAGTAGTAGTAGTAGTAGTAGTAGTAGTAGTAGTAGTAGTAGTAGTAGTAGTAGTAGTAGTAGTAGTAGTAGTAGTAGTAGTAGTAGTAGTAGTAGTAGTAGTAGTAGTAGTAGTAGTAGTAGTAGTAGTAGTAGTAGTAGTAGTAGTAGTAGTAGTAGTAGTAGTAGTAGTAGTAGTAGTAGTAGTAGTAGTAGTAGTAGTAGTAGTAGTAGTAGTAGTAGTAGTAGTAGTAGTAGTAGTAGTAGTAGTAGTAGTAGTAGTAGTAGTAGTAGTAGTAGTAGTAGTAGTAGTAGTAGTAGTAGTAGTAGTAGTAGTAGTAGTAGTAGTAGTAGTAGTAGTAGTAGTAGTAGTAGTAGTAGTAGTAGTAGTAGTAGTAGTAGTAGTAGTAGTAGTAGTAGTAGTAGTAGTAGTAGTAGTAGTAGTAGTAGTAGTAGTAGTAGTAGTAGTAGTAGTAGTAGTAGTAGTAGTAGTAGTAGTAGTAGTAGTAGTAGTAGTAGTAGTAGTAGTAGTAGTAGTAGTAGTAGTAGTAGTAGTAGTAGTAGTAGTAGTAGTAGTAGTAGTAGTAGTAGTAGTAGTAGTAGTAGTAGTAGTAGTAGTAGTAGTAGTAGTAGTAGTAGTAGTAGTAGTAGTAGTAGTAGTAGTAGTAGTAGTAGTAGTAGTAGTAGTAGTAGTAGTAGTAGTAGTAGTAGTAGTAGTAGTAGTAGTAGTAGTAGTAGTAGTAGTAGTAGTAGTAGTAGTAGTAGTAGTAGTAGTAGTAGTAGTAGTAGTAGTAGTAGTAGTAGTAGTAGTAGTAGTAGTAGTAGTAGTAGTAGTAGTAGTAGTAGTAGTAGTAGTAGTAGTAGTAGTAGTAGTAGTAGTAGTAGTAGTAGTAGTAGTAGTAGTAGTAGTAGTAGTAGTAGTAGTAGCAAAATCGAATTATATCTTAGTGTAAGTTATCATGAATGAATATAAGCTACATGATATGTAACATTTATTCAAGGAAAAAATTATGGCTATTCATATTCACATTTTAGAAAAGGAAGCTGCTATTAAGTGGATCATATATATGTTTGATAGAAAGAAGATGTGAGTTAAAGGAATCACACTACTATCAGTACCAGGAAAGATTTTCAACAGAGTGTTGCTGAACTGGATGAAAGATTCAGTAGATGCACAACTTCCAGATCAACAGGTCATGCACACACCAAATTGCGACACTACTGATCATCGTTGAACAATCAGTTGAATAGAATTCGTCACCATATATCAACTTCCTTGATTATGAGAAAGCATTTAACAGCGTGGATTGGAGGACATTACGGAAACTTCTTCGATACTACGGAGTACCTGAGACAATCGACAATATCATCCGAATTCATACGATGGGCTACAGTGTAATGTGGTGCATGGGGGACAGCTGACAGATGCATTACAAGTGAGGACCGGAGTCAGGCAAGGTAGCTTACTGTCTCCTTCCCTTTTTCTTCTGGTGGTCAACCGGGTTATGAAGACCGCATCTGACGCGAAACACGGAATAAAGTAGTTAGGTTGGATGCGACTAAACGGTTTGGACTTTGCAGATGGCTTGGCTCTTCTATCCCATACACATTAACAAATGCAGATGAAGACAACTAGTGTACCAAAAGTCGATGCATCAGTAGGCCTCAACACACACATGGGAAAAAGCAAGACCTTAAAAACAACACGGAGAACACCAACTCAGTTACATTTGATGAAGAATCACTAGAAAGTTGTAAGGTTTCACATAGCTGGGTTGAATCGTCGATGAACGTGCAGGATCCGATGCAAACGTAAATACAAGGATTGACAAGTAAGGACGGCATTCCTACCATTGATGAACATATGGGACTCAAAACAACTGACAACCAATTTCAAAGTCTGAATCGTCAATACGAACGGCTAGACGGTCTTACTGTACGGAGCTGAAACATGGAGAACTATCATAACCGTCATCAAAGCGTACAAGTATTGATAAACAGTTGTCTACGTAACATACTCAATGTCCGCTGGCTGAATAACATCCGAAACAGCCTACTGTGGAAGAGAACAAACCAACTTCCAGATGAGGAAGAAATTAGGAAAAGATGTTGGGAGTGTATAGGACACATATTGATGAAATCATTGAACGACATCACGAGAGAAGCGCCAACTTGGAATCCTGAAGGAAAGCGGATGAGAAGAAGGCCAAAGAACACACAGCAGTGAGAATTGGGAGCAGACATGAAAAAGATGAATAATATCTGGGAACAACTGGAAAGGAATGTTCAAGACAGAGTCGGATGGAGAATGTTGGTGAGCGGCCTATGCTCCTGAATGAGGGGTAACAGGCGTAAGTAATATCTTTTGATTTGTTTTTCATTATACTACAAAACTAAACTATTTTCCTGTTATTTCCAAAATCGTATTTTCACTTTTTAATCTGACTGTATTAAACTCTTATTCCAATCATTTGTATTAAATAATTTATTTATGAACACAGTTATCATTAGCATAAGAATCTTTTGCTTAGATCCTAACTGATATTTCAGTACTATATTTGTACATAATCTTCACTTGCATCATGTTACTCTAGTGAAATTTGTGTCTAAAGCAAATTCTAACAAACCTCAATTCTAAAATCATGTTAAACCTTAACTGTGTATCAATTTCAAAACATTATTGATTGTATTCAGCTAATGAGAAGCAGATATATATAAATGGTCAGTACTTCACAACTAACAATCATCTGTAATCATATTTCATTGAAGACTAACATAATCAAATAGAAAAATGTGCATTGCTGAGGAGTCCCATACTACGACGAAACGGCTGTCCAGTGCTTCCAGGTTGTCCATGGTGGTCTACCTTCGATTGACTCATGATTTCAACTAATGAAATTTCTAAAATCTCCACAAAACCTCTTCTGAAAAAAATGTATATTTTGCTCAAAATTAATAATCACAGGGTTTGGAAGAGGAAAATAATATATTGATTGTTGAGAATTATATAACAACAACAATTAAACATCTGTAATACTGTTGTAATCAAATGAATCTTTATTATGACAAGTATATAAACCTGCTCCATGTTTATCCTTGATGATTGTAAAGGAATCAATCACTTGACCTTTTCTTTCCTTTAAAAATGTTAAAAATAAACACAATAAACGTTAATTATGAACTACAGTTAAGCTGAATCATTCATTGTAAAAATTATAAAAGTTCTGATCAAAAGCAAATGATATTTAATCTTAAGAGTTAAATGCAACTGTTTTGTTTTATGAAGGTTAGTTTTATTAAATGGTTGTTGATCTATAGGCTTGGTGTTTGCTGTTGAGTCGGTTTCCGAGATCTACAACGGAGTCTCCAGAGGCCTTAAAGGGGCCGAAAATTTCCAGCCAATCATAACGTGATGGAGCTTTCTAGAATGTCAACGTGGCAGGCTACTATTAGTCAGTAGCATAAGATGTCCTTTAGCGGATTGGCCAATGTATAATGTTGATTTAACAAATGCTAATATCTATAAATACCTGTGATTTTCTGTACACTTTGATTCTTACCAAATAAACACTTCTCCAGCTTTCCTTCTGTTTTCTGATTTGCGATGGGGTAGTTCAGCCTTCTAATGTCGTAGTCGTAACCCGTATTCTACGTTAATCAAGTAGCGAACTTAACATTCACCCTATCAATTATGCAGTTTATATATTATTTCGAGTTGATTATCATTTATTTGAATAAATCGATAGATTATACCATCCTGACTAGAAAATAGAGTATGATATATCTTACATCATTAAGTCGTGAAGTAAGAAACAGAATATTGCAGTAGACAACATTCAGAATAGTTTTCACTAGTAAAAGTGTAGAACAGAAACTGTTCCTTTTGTAAAGGTTTATATCGTTGGCATAATTGAATAATTACAAGTTACCAGAATGTTAGGAAGCTCTTATAACAAAAAGGGATAAATGATTGACCCAAGCATCTCATGTGTCACATAAAATGATCATATAAATCAAGCTGATTTTGTCGAGACAGGTTTGCCTAGTTTTGATCATGGTTTGATAGGAACAATTTTGAAACTTTCATTTCCACACAAATAATTAACTAATTAATTGAAGGTTTATTCTAAGTTGAAGCAGTTCTTGATGGAATTCAAACTGTTCATTATCAGTAATTGATTGATATTTAATAGTAATAAATAAGAACTAATCATTTTTACATAAATATTACTAAAAAGGATAACAATGAGTTTGTAGGTATCATTACCAAGATTTGGCATGATAATTCCGAATAAATTGAGCATGGGATAGATTTAAATAAAGCCAGAACAAATATTGATGCAGAATAATATGAATCCATTATATTTCGTATTTTCTCATCAGCTGATTACAACCAAATATGTATTAGAATTTTACATATATATATGGAGAACATACATTGGAAGAGCCGAGAGAAGAGCATATTTTCTTATTTATGAGCATGTTCCAAAGAACTTGAAGCTGAAAGGGACCAAGGCTCTCAACAGTGTAATAGCTCGGCATTTACTCGACATTGGACATACCATTGACATTCCTCATGCTTTTAAAATTATTAGCAGACAAAGAAATACGGCTTCTCTCCGTTTTGCCGAAGCGATCGTGATAAAAAAAACTCAAACTTGATCTATGTATTGAAAAAGAGACATTAATAAACTTATTACTTCCCCGGTAATCCATATTTTTTTGGTCATTAGTTTTATTTTGTTAATGTTTAGTTTGTGTTATATTCTTCTTCCATTACTGAATTCTTAAACCACCTCTTCACCCATACATTTCCACCCACTTGATTCTCTTAAACTATGTGAACTCTTCAAAGTCTATTCAATTATTATGTAACCCATCTTATCAGTTTTTAATTCCATGAATCGTATGTAAATCCTTCATTACTTCTAAAATTATCACACAATTCATCTTATCTGTCTTTGAACCCCCTCAACTATTACATCACCATCCTTAATGTTTCTTTGATTCTAACACCAAATAACCTCTGACCTGTTTTTGCATATATATATATCATTGATAACCTTTGTCATTCCAGTCCTTTACGTTCATTTATGTCTATTATTCCATACTATTTCTTACTTCAATGTAAAATCCTAATACATATTTGGTTGTAAGCAGCTGATGAGGAACTACGAAATATAATGGATTTATATTATTCTGCATCCATATCTGTTCTGGTCTTATTTAATTTCGTAACGGGAACTAATTGCGTGTAATTGGACGGTTTGTTACAAAGTAATCTAATATTTTTGTAACAACTCAATGAGTAGAAAAACTAGGTTTTCTGACGTTTCGTAACTCAATGGCAGGCACTTCTTGTCGATCTTGAATTGTTTAGATCTGTTTTTGTGGTTGATCGCATATAATATTCTTGCATTGTTTCCTTTTTATTATTTAAACTTGGATTAATTTCGATTTGATTATTTATTCTCAGAAGAAGTGGCTTACACCGAGTCACGAAACATCAGGAGATCTAATTTTTCTACTCATTGAGATATTACAAATATATAATTTTATTTATGAATTAATAACAAGTTATTTTTGAGCGATTAGTCATTATTCAAAGGGCACTGCTGAAGAGTACCATAATAGGACGAAACAACCGTCCAGTACTTCCATGTTTATTATGGTGGTTTAGCTTCAATTGACTCATAATTTCAACCATTGATATTATTCAAACTGTTGGTTTTCCAAACTTCAATGATAATATTACAACTGGAGTTCATAATTATAGAACGTCAAATTTTCACTCTCATTAGATAAACTTTCCACTACCTGAAATTCGCAGGGAATAAAACGTTTGTTGTGTGTTTTTGGAGATTTTCCGTTTATCATTGAAGCATAGATTGAGCTTATGTATGAAATCAAATAGTGCAGTTAATATTTATAAAGTATACTCTTGAATATTTTTACACATATAGATTTTCTTTGAATAATACATTCTATACTTGATTAGTTGATAAAAGATCATTTTCATGGTAGGAAATAAACAAAACTTATTTTGCCCAGTGAAATCTTTTACTGCGATCGAACACATCACTGGTAATTCAGTTAAAAAGTATTTTTCTTTTGGTGCATCATCCCCTGCATAAAATAAACATATTACTAAACTTCTTAGTATGTTATCCATTTGAGTCAAAGTTTGATACAGTCAGTTAATAAACTTTCGACATGATTTATTAGGGGATTTATCTACAGTTCACTTTATATTACCAGGGTTATTTCAAGTTGATGACGAAATGATTGTTTCATAATTCCAATTTGATATATCAACCGATAGGCATCCTACATTGTTATCTGGAAATACACATAAGAAACACTAATAATTTCAGTATTTAAATAAATAAGAGAATAACATTTACATTTTCCACTGAAATTTGTTCAATTTCTAAGTGAGTAACGTTATGTATCGTCATTCTAGTAAATCCGAAATCAGTTGTTCGAAATGCTGACCAAGGTTTCCCACCATATATAAATGTATCTTTACCTTCATTTGATCCAGCAGCTCCACTAACAATATGTATTGGAGCGTTTGGATTATTGTATGGATTTTGACTTGTTGTAGAATTACAAACCTGAAATATGAACATTTGATTAGTGATAATACTGAAAAATTATTCAGTGTTATTGATTTAATCAATTTTATTTATTTGGACTAATACATATTGGTACAAAGGTGAACCAAACAGATATGCGGAACATAAATCATCCGATTTTTGTGAGAGCTGAGATACTATACGGGTACTCACACCGAAGCAGGTGGTCTTCCTATGGGGCCACACCCGCAGCCTTCGACCTAAGACAGTGGAACGACGTCAAGAGATGCATTCCCATGGTAGCCGGTGACTAACAATGGGCCCATACGTCATTTATTGCCTCACGATCCTGGATCCCATGTGCACCATTGGTTTGGAATCGGGGTTTTCCAACTCCCCTAGATGAACCCTCCATGTCCACTAACCCGATTCAATTGCCGGACATTCTCTTTTCGTCCTCTTAATTAACAGTAATGACGCGAGTAGACATTGCGTAGGACTTCACTGGCAGTGGCTGTATACGCGTGGTCTTGTGAGAGCATTTGGAGAGGGAGAGCTGACTCTCCCCACCTTCAGTCGTACCAGGGCATTCGGGGACAGTTTAATCATAACTTTGGTTTAAAGTTATGAGACAAGAGCCGTATGATAGATTATCGGACAAATAAATGGAACAGTTTATCCAAGTTATACAAGAAGTATTAAGTATACAATATGTTAAAAACATTGTCATTGGATGTAATATGCTAAAGATGTAACCATAGGAAATAACTACACGTAACTAAGATATTTATTCAATAATATTTAGTTGATTATTGAATATATTGACTAGTTTATATACACACATCAAAGAGTTTAATGAAAATAAGTAAATATAATTGTAGATTACATCATGTTTATGAATAATATTTGACTAGTGTTCAGGATGGTTGGAAGAAAATTAGGGGCGGCTAAACCAAAACGTGGCATCAGTGCTTGGAGTCACTAACTTCTGGTCTGATCCATGTTGGTAGATGCAGACTACTTGGTTTTCCATGGTGTCTAGCTTTTATTGACTTATGAATTAAATTACTAGATTACTACAATCTCCACAAAACCCCTTTCCGATAGCGATAAAATACATTGTTAATGAGCAGTTGGTTATTTGTAATTTATGCTGAAGAATGGTTATGAACACGAAACATAGATCAAGTATTTCTTGACAATCAGTTACAACCGCATGACCTATATATATAGACTTACGGTTCTGTTGTAAACTGGCCAAAATCTCTCATATGAGTGTTCATGACCAGCAATGATTAAATCCACACCATACTGATAAAATAAGCTTTCCAATCCCATAAGATATACAGTTTTATGATGGTCAGGTGATATGTCGAATCCGGTGCGTACAATATTGTTTTCAAAATCACAATGCATTGGATCAAAATTATTTGAACAATACATTGGTCTATGACCTATTACAATAATCCATGGATGATTTTTTCGATTTTCTGGTTTATTCGCTTCCTTGAAAGAAATAAGCACGACAAAACTGTCTGTCAAGTAAGTATGAAGAGTGAAATCATAAACTTATGAAAATCAAACATGTATACGATAAACAAAACATTTCACTTCAAAACCCTCACAAATGGAACACAAAACATATAATGAATGTTTAAATCAACACGTTAGAGGAATGGTAACTACGTCCTGTAAATCTAGCAATCTTACAATGAATCTAAGAGAATTGACATCTTATTCGTTTTTTTGTTTTTGTTTTTAATTGGCTTTGAGGGTTCCGATGAAACTAAGCCCATGATTTTGGAATTTTCAAATTTTTGTAGTTTACATCAGAGGCTGCTTTTATTTAGGCAAACTCTGAAAGCTAGGAAGTGATAGACCGCTATGTCGTTTTAATATCGGACTAGTTAGAAATGTGTATATATGATCCACCGTGGATCAAATTCATCTAGCTCACCAAACTTGCATCTAACATTTTACATAATCAACTAAAATCAATTCACGATGTTGTGCAATCGTCTTCTATTTATTGCAGTAGTAAACTAACTCATAGCTACTGTGTCTGAATTGTAACAATCATCACTATCCATTACAACTTTAAGAATCAAGTCTCAAAATTAGTCACCGGTAAATACATGATTATTGTCAATGCAGAAGGATTATGAGAATTGTTCATATAAACGTACAAATTTACTAACTAACTTTCAGATAATCAAGTCCTCTTGAACTATTTGTAATTGTAGTAATTTGAATGAATCTTATAACGATTATATTGAAATATTTCTAGCTTTCATGACCTACTGTTTCACAGATTTATTTGTCATTATATAGATATCTAATTTACATATTACTATTTACTATCAATTGAGTTATTCATAAAAATACATTAACTTTCTAAACAAAAAACTTATTTAATAGTTGAATTCATGAGTCAATTAAAGCTAGACTATCGTGAAAAATCTGGAAATACTGAACGACCGTTTCATCCTTGTATGGGACTCTTCAGCAGTACGCATTCACGATCCCGCCTAACGAGATTCGAACGCGAAAGCTTAACTTCTGGACCACTGAGCCGGCATTCAACGGTGTTAATGTCTAAATTCAATCAATCCACAGTGTCCATGTTGACAACAGTGTGAGTAGTATAATTTATTCACTTTTCAAAATCCATATAAATAAAATATTCAGACACACCTGAGAGATTTTTTTTATTTAAATAACTAGCTCAAGTTAAAATACCAGAGTTATATTTTAAAAGGCTTGTTACTCCATTGTGAATTTCTTTCAACGACAAACTGTTTGATCATAATTTTAATATTCATTGTACTTTTCTAATAGTATTGTGAATCAAACGGATAAACTACCGATTTACATACATGGTGGTACACCAAGATACTATGTCAGTTACAAACAGTGAATTGTTCAAGTGTTTAAAGTAGTATGGAATTTACTCATCTGTACGAAATAATTTTATCCCATTTATTGGTAAGGCAGATGTTTATCTTTGTAGACGTGATCTTCTCATGTGCTGTCATTAGTCAATGCTATACAGCTGTCAACGTATACATAAAAATTCTATTCATCTACATTACGTGGATTCTTTTTATCGACATAATTCTATAACCTCATTGCAAATTCGATGGAGAGAATCAAGTTAAAACATAAACATAAACACGATCGCAAATCAGATTATTTATTAGTGTGCATGACTAAAGTTGTGTAATTGACCATCTTAGTAACTAATCCCCTCAGTATTCAGTGACATATATATATATCAATATATATATGTTCAAGCAAAATTCCATAAACTGACCGTTAACTTAATTAGCATAAAATTCAGAACATATGTTTCTTGGTGTAAAATTAATACCTATTCAAATAATCATAATCAAATTTTAAGTGTATCATTTCTCAAAAATGTGATATCCTAAAGTTTATGGCGAGACTCTAAATTATGGACAAGCCAATCAGAATTAGGATAATGGCTTTAGGATTTTGGCGCGAAATTCACTCATCCATTTGGCCAAATAGCGTCTTGGTATTTTAGCTGATGTCAGTTGGTGATGAGAAACCGTAAATTTAATTCTTAACCCTAACCATCCATTGTGAATCATAATATTTATTCTTCAAACTGATTTATAACCATCATTTAACCTTAGTAAGTAGGTAAACACTCTCAGAGTCAGTTTAGCGTCACTCAGTTGTCGTCCATAAATTATAGTCTCACTAAATAATTTATTTCATATGTGATGATATTTTGGAATACATTAATGTCAGTTTCAAAAAGTTAAACTTTTGATAGAATTAATATTTTCGTTTTAGTTATAGTTACTGACTATTCTAGTTTAATGAGTTAAAGTGTCATAGATTTGTGTGACGAAACCTGTTTTAATTTATATTTCACTCTAACATTATTGCAACTCAGGATTCACATTATGCTTCTAAATAGACTAGAATGCTTTTAATGATTTAGCCCAAAGCCATTTACTATTTATCATTCAATACATATTTTATAGACAAACTACAATTAAATTCATTTTGTATTGTTTGTTTGAATCTTTCCATTGATGTTTAGAACTGCAATTGGTCAGTCTCTTATTGGCATGTATGTATCCTGAGCGAATCACCTCAATATTGCCTTAAGTCACAAGCATTATCAGCAAGGATAGATGGAAGCTAGCAGTGGAATCCTGGATGTGCATTTCGTCCTATTCGGGAATAGTCAGTTGGGTTGGTTGTTCAATGATTTATCAATACTAAACTGAATTTCTTATGAATGATTAATTATCTTGACTTTTTCAAACAAGTTTGTGGGTCACATTTGTTGTAAGCTTTCTAAAAGCATAACTGTAGACAAAATAATACACATAGCGTAATGACATGTTATAGGAGATTAATCTTACTTGTAAATCTTTAATCAACCAATCATATTGCGTCACTAATGTTTTCCATCCATAAAATAAAAAGTAATATAATTCACTAGAAAATGCCATAATATGCGCAGGTCCAACGTTAAAACTAAAAAGTGCATAAAGTATGACAATACGTTTCTCATAACAGTATCCATCATGAAGGCAAATGAAAGTAAATTAAAAATGTGTTGTTAGTTCATTTCGGAAGTCATTCAATCTCTTGAACTGATAAGAATTCAATTATCTTTATAAGTTTTTTCTTGTAGTGTAGAAACCTAATGAAAGCATCATAACTTAGTTGACTTTTATGCGTGTTTCTTTTTTTTTGCTGGTATATTTTCAATTACTTTTACCGTCTTATCATCGCTGCAAAAAGTAGCTGACCTTTACACATACGGATCATCCAAAGTGTAATGCGATGTCTAGTAAAATCTGAATAAAACTCTATCAAGAGCAAAATATCAGGACAATTCTATTGGATGCTTACATCTTGATATTTGGATCATAAGCTTGGTATGAGCTGAAAAATTGTTTAGCCAATAAATTAGTAAAACATAAATCTTTATACATGGATCAACTATTGGTTTTATTAGTAAAGCTTCTGTCTATTTCATTTAAAAGATACATAAATGATCACATAGTAAGCTTATTTATATTTTGCTAAATATTGCGTGAGTTTGTTAAAATGATAATATCATCTGAATAACAGTTCAGGTGGCCAGCTTGAATATCTGGGTTACGTATTCCTGCTATATGAATATTTCAACAAGTTATCTGTTTTTACTTGTTTTAGCATATCATAATGTCCATTAACCGCATAACCTATGCAGGCGCGTTTATGAAAGGCTTACGACTTCTCACTGCACCAGAATGCCCTGGTACAGTCGATGGTGTGGAGAGTCTGCTCTCCCTTTCCAAGTGCTCTCACTTGGCCACGGGTATATAGCCACTATCAGGTAAGTCCTACTCAATGCCTTCTCGCACCAGGAGTGTTGTTTACGAAACTGAGAGTACAAAAAGTGAACGTCCAGCGCTTTAATCGGGTTGGAGTACCTTGATTCCAAAGCAATGGCTTGCATGGGCTCCAGTATCCTGAAAGCTGCCATGGGACTGCATCTCCTTACGTTGCTCCTCTGCTTTATGAACCAGACCTTTAGGTCAAAGGCTCTGAGTGTGGTCCCCCTAGGAAAACCACCTGTTTCGGTCTGGGTGTCCGGGCAGTATCCCAGCTGTCACACAAATCGCATTATTTATGTGGCGCATATGTATTCGGTACCCCTTTGTACCAATATTTATGTGTTCAAATAATAATAATAATAATAAAGTGCTCTACTTCTGTAGCATCAACATATTTGGAACATCAAAACAAACGTATAACTAATTGGTTTCAAAGGTTTAATTTCTGTTTTAATCGGACATGAATGAAACATTGAAAAAAAGTGATATAAATTGGCAAGTTGTCCATTTATATTGATAAATTTTCTTAGTATAATTAGATAGCAATATTGATTTACCTATAAAATTGCGATTCACCATCACCTCCAGGCATTGTGAATCTTGCTTTGTAATTTGAGAAATTGCTAAAAAAGCGTTTATTAAAGAAGAAAGTACTAATTAGCTGTTGAATCATGATAATCTATTTATTTATTTTAAGGCATTGTTGTCAATTGACTTTCTATCAACTAGTAATTGTGCACTTAGTACAAAAACTTTTCTTTTATTTACCTAGTATTGTATTAACAGGACTAGGAGACAACGGCCGCATTCCTACAATTCAGGAACATATGGAACTTAAAACAACTATCTGTCAACCAACATCGAAGTCAGAATCTTCAATACGAACACCAAGGCAGATCTACTGTACGGAGCTGAAACGTGGAGCAGTATCACAACCATTATCAAAACATACGAGTATTGATAAACAGTTGTCTACGCAAAATACTCAACTAGTGTTGACCGGATACCATCAAGAATAGCCTTCTGTGAAAGAGAACAAACCAAATTTGAGCTGAAGACGGAATTAGGAAAAAAACTTTCGAAGTGGATAGGATATACATTGCGGAAATCCCCAAACTGCATCGTGAGGCAATCTCTGACTTGGAATCCAGAAGGGAAACGGATGAGAGGATGACCAAAGAGCACATTGCGTCGATAATTGGGAGCAGATATGAGAAGGATGAATAGCAACTGGAAAGAACTGGAAGGGATTTCGCAAGACAGGTTTGGATGGGGAGTGCAGGTGGGCGGCCTATATTCATCCACGAGGAGTAACATGCGTAAGTAAGTAAGTAAGTAATTTTTTAAACAGAATACATTACTGTTAGTATTCAGATTGGTAAAATTATATAACAAGGCACCGATGCATATGACTTTATGCACAACCCATTGATACTATAAAAGTAGTTTGTCTATTTTTTAACAGTTGGACATTAACACCATTGGATACCGGCTCAGTGGTCTGGAGGTTGAGCATATGCGCGCGAGACCGAAGGTCCTGGGTTCGAATTCGGCGAGCGAGATCGTTGGTGCGCACTGCTGAGGAGTCCCATACTAGGACGAAACGGCCTTCCAGTGCTTGCAGGTTTTCCATGGTGGTCTAGCTTCAATTGACTCATGAATTCAACTATAAAGTTAAAAGCGTACAAAGTAAACTACTGTCAGATGTAGGTGACGTAGTTTAATCAGTTTTTTAGCAGTCGATAACAAAACCGAAATTTATATTTCGAGTATGAGATGTAAAAATCGTACATATTCATGTTTAATCCTACTTAATCGAGAACGTTTTTGACATTGCAGTTTGGGTTTTATTTTCACATCTGATTGAGAAATTATATGTCAGCCAGTTGAAAATTGTTTAACTCAACACTGTTCATTCACTTAATTCATGTTTTCACCAAGTTAATATGTTAGTGTACAATGCGATGGATTTGAAAATGAATTACAATTATTGAAATCAACAAATGTCATACTGTTGTGTATGCTACTTATGTCCACATGAGTAGTATATAACGCTAGTCAGGAATAGAATGTCTGGAAGCAGAAGGTTGAGAAGATCGAGGAGGGAAGAACTGGAACAGAAAGCAATTCGTATGAAAATGCAGGAACAATGAAGTCTGTGACACTTAATAAGCATTTTGCATATGAAATATTGGAGCATGGTCTTTCTATTTTATCAAGTAACTCTGGTTGTCCTCACCTGTGTTCTCCTTCATCACAACACTACTGTTTGATTTTCTTTGTAGAAAACTAAGAACCTAATTGAAAATAAATTAAACAAAGTTTGTTCACTTACTAAGCAGCCTCATGGTTACCAACACATGTCATATAAGGAACTTTTGATGCAATTGGTTGTATATTACGCATAAATTGATCACCAACTCTTGCATTATCCTAAAATTTTGGTTTCAACATTAAAAACATGTATCAAATTATTGAAAGATTTTTCAACGTTACTTTTATAAGAGTAAAAATATTCAATTGCGACGCACAAACGTTACAATTACTAATAGTGTAGTGTAGAAATTGATGTTAAGCATTTTTATCAAGAATTTACTACACTGACAAAGAATATCTTGTTTAGTTGAGTATTATAAGCGGAGAGGCTGTAAAGAGTTAAGGGCAGCTGTTTGTACTGTTGCTGGTCATGTTTTCAATGATACATATGGATGTTTTCATATCTATCCAATAATAAAATGACATCTAGTTTTGTTAACCATACATCTACATTTTCGACTCATGAATCAAATAAATGAAGTACATATCTACCAGTCTATCCAATTGATTTTATTTTCTCATATTGAAATATTAAAATTCAAAGAATGAATCTTGAAATATGTTATCAGTAATTTCAATAGTTGAGGTCATGTGTCAATTGAGGCTAGACCACCATGGGAAACTTGGAAACACTAGACGGCCGTTTCGTCCTATTGTGGTACTCCTCAATAGAGCGCATCCACAAACCCGCCTCGCGGGATTCGAACTCAAGACCTATCAGTCTCGCGCGTGAGCGTCTTACATCCAGACCACTGAGACGGTATCTAACGATGTTAGTGTCTAAATTCAACTAGTCCACGAAATCGAGCGACACATTTCAACTATTGAAATTACTGCAATCTTCACAAAACCCCTTCTGACAGCTATCAGTACGTGTTATAGTGTCGGTTGCTATGTTAAGTCCACATTGATTATACTAGCTTACACATTTTGACCTTGTTCATTAATCACTTATCAACCTTGACTGATTTTATTTGAGCGTATGTGTGTGCATTTCCCATCTTACTCATTACATGTCTGTAACTTATTTTTTGTGACTAGAAATATCGATTAACGCTTGATTAAATCGAGTTGGCTCTTACGCATTCTCCACTGCGCGTTATTTCGCTTCTCTCACTTCTCTTTACTTTCTTCACATCGTCTCCCCGATTGTCCAGATCGACGAGTTTACAAAATATATGTATTCAAAATTTCATTGTCGTATTTAACTTATTTAATCCGTTATTTACTAACACGATTCATGTCGTTCATTATATACGAGTATTAGCGAGATATATATATTTCGACAGCAATCATTGCATAAGGATCATTTGTCTGATCTAACTGGAGTCAGATATCCCGGTGCCACTAAACATTTTTGTGAATAGATAAGTTCATGAACATTTACTAGCGGACGTTTTAAGTTAAACTTACGAATGATTTTGTCAGAAAGTGAAGCCCATTGTTCTAATTTCTTTCCCAGAATAAAGAAGCTATTTGTGTAGTTGGTAGATGAACTAACATACAAAAGATTTCTATTCAGCTATATTACTTCTAAATATGATTTCACTCATTAAAGATCATTAGTAAAGTTATTTTTCAGGGTTTATTCGAAATGTAATTCACAAAGTATACAAATTATATAACGAGCATTATTCATGTACATAAACCTTTTCTGGGCAATAATATAGAATACTTAATGGACCTTTACTAACAAATATAAGTGATCATTGGTTATGCTCTTGGATAGTTCTAAAGGCTATATCAAACTGGAAAACGACATTTTTCTGAGATCTCATGAACACCGTTGGCATATGATTTCAAAAAACCTTCAAATAGTGTTATATGTGCTATATTCCGTCCAGAGATATTTGTTTACCAGTATTACTCCACTAAAATACGACACTGGTCTTTAGCTAGTGTTTATGTTATTAATAGGTTGAATGTTAGTTACTTACTGAATCCATATTATAGGCGAAATCACCAACATGTAATACCACATCATAACTATTTAAATCTTTGACTTGATGAATTAATTCGGGTAGTGAAAGTGCATCAGTTGTCCCCATATCTCCATAAACTGCTATTTTAGGTGACCAATAAGGATGAGATGGGAGAGCACGAAATTTCAAAACATCTGACAACCATCTGAACTACCACATTTATAATCTGCAAAGCGAAAAATATATGACAAGCCCAAAGACTATCTGAGTTTGACATCTGACACTGCTACTTAAACTGAAAAATCATTTTAGTCCTCAGTTAATTACTAAGTCATTTGCAATAAAATGATATCGATTACTTCATTGCTTATGCTTGTGTGCTAGTGAAGAGGTAGCCTATGCAGAAACTTTACTAATTACGATAAAATTCATCCAGTACAACTAGTGTCCTCTCTGCTGAGAGGAAAGTTTACACTCAGAATAGTATCGACTCTCTCAAAGATGTTACTAATTCGTTGTCTATCAGCTAACGGCAACCATTCCTAAATGTGTCTAGTCTGTTGGTCGTGCATTGTCAGCCAACTATAGAGTGTGCTCTTGACTTTAGTTTTAAGTGTTTCAAGGCGATAAGCAATAAATCAAAAACCAAAGTTTCATGCTAACTATTATGTGAGACCTCGAAATCACAATCGTACTAGATAAAAAGTGGCATTCAGTTTGAAATTTCATTGGTTTCATCCTAGTAAACGTTTATTTAGAAAGGTTTTTATTACTGTTTGGGGTCGCTTACTCCAGGCCTAACTTTCTTCCCCTACCCAGGATTGACATTGCGATAATCCTACTAAGACTTAGGACAGAATTACTTATTTTAGGAGATTAAATTCGAATAATTTATGATTTGTCTAAACTCAGTGTTGTAGCCATGAGAAATCGACGACTCAGCATTTTTCAGGAGAGCTATGAATAAATGCTGTCAGATATGATTCATTCATAACAAAGAGATATATATTCAGAAATGTTATCATATTAACAAATTGTGGATGTCACTAAAGAAAAAAATCCTTTTTATTCATAGAAGGATTTCTTAAACTTACAATAAGTTGTATTAGCAATTAAATCGGATAGGATCACTCGATGTATATACATTTTGCGTTGTTCACGTCCTCCATCAATAAACTGTTTAACGTAGCCAGTACTTTTCATATTTAACAGCATAGTACCATAGAGTACAGTTGAACTCTCTGTATTTTCTTGTGTAACCCAAGTAATACTTATGGTGGATGGTTGCTCTATGATACAAAAATACTGTTATTTATATGGTGTTAAACATGTTCACAAAAATGATTCATCAAAATGAACAGTTAAATCATGTTCATAGAAACAGTTAACACTGTTTCAGTGCCTAGCTATACAGAGGTGTTATACAACATTTCCGAATGATTTTTATTATGAATAAATTGGTTTACTATTTAAAACCTCCGTTTGTATGTACTAAAATTTCAACTTAGATGCACATTTGTATTGAAAGAAAAGTAATCTAAACGACATCTATCAATGTCAAGGATTGACAATAACTTTAAATAAATTGATCATTCAGTATAATATTAATATCAATGGAGATGGACGCGCAATTTCGTGGATTGGTCGAGGTTGGACATTAACACCGTTGGATGCCGACTCAATGATCTAGGGTTAAGCGCTCGCGTGCAGGATCAAAGGTGCTGGGTTGGAATCCCACGAGCAGGATTTTGGTTGCGCACTGCTGAGGAGTCCCACAATAGGACGAAACGGCCGTCCAGTGCTTCCAGGTTTTCAATTGTGGTCCAAAATCAATCGGTCCATAGTCTCAGTTAAAAACATAATAATCTCCACAACACCATACTGTTAATAATAATAATAATAATAATAATAATAATAATAAAAATAATAATAATACCATCATTTTTCTACCGAACAAAATCTATTCACCATTTACTCAAAATAATACGTGTGTAATATACACACTCTGAACACTTTCTATAGTCTATTTATACTGTGGTGTGCGTTACTTATGCACATGAATAGTAAATAATGATAGTCAGGAATAGAATGTATTTCATTAGAAAATCGAGAAGGAAAGAACGGGAACAGAAAGCAATTGGTATGAAAATGCAGGATCAACGAAATCTGAGACGATAGACTGATACTTGCAAAAGAAACAGTCAAGATTGAGAAAATTTACATATTTGGGCAGCATCATTGATGAACAGGGTGGATATGATGCAGATGTGAGGGCGAAGATCGGCAAAGCAAGAGCAGTATATTTACAACTGAGGAACATCTGGAATTCAAAGCACCTGTCAACCAACACCAAGGCCGGGATTTTCAATACAAATGTCACGACAGTTCCACTATATGGGACAGAAACCTGGAGAACTACGGAAGCCATCAGCCAGAAAATACAGGTGTTAATTAACAGTTGTCTACGCAAAATACTTCGGATCCGTTGGCCTGACACTATTAGCAACAACGTACTGTGGGAGAGAACAAAGCAGATCCCAGTGGAGGAAGAAATCAGGAAGAAGCGCTGGAGGTGGATAGGACACACATTGAGGAAAGCACCCAACTGTGTCACAAGACCAGCCCTCACATGGAATCCTCAAGGCCAAAGGAAAAGAGGAAGACCAAAGAACACATTACGCCGAGAAATGGAAATAGACATGAAAAAAAATGGACAAGAATTGGATGGGACTAGAAAAGAAGACCCAGGAAAGAGTGGGTTGGAGAATGCTGGCTGGCGGCCTATGCTCCATTGGGAGTAACAGGCGAAAGTAAGTAATGAATAACCTTGTCAGGAGGAATGTTACGAGCTTAAATAACGAACTTCACATTTCTGCACATTAAAATAAATCCGCATAAAAATACATGAGTTTTCTAAATTTGTTGAAACTTATTTCAACAGAATCGCATTGAACGTTGTTGTGAGTTGAGGAGATGAATTGATGTGTCATTCTGAAATAACTATTCACAATATCTTCTTGTTCCAATGACTCATTCAATCGTGTTTGTTTGATTCATGTGAATTTACTTTGTAATGACCAAACTGGCTGACACCTTTAATGTTTTCTAGTTACCGGAGCGAAATCGTCCAGATAACAAACTAAATACAAAGTGAATCCGAAGTCAAACACATCCACAAACCAGTTCAGGATTTGAGGAAAACAACTACATTCAATATTAGTGAAATCATATAATTCAATTAACGTGCATAATTACTTACGTCTGTCACGTATCGTTGATGATCACTTTGTATTTATGAGCTCATAAATATATATTTTATAACATATCACTAGATTTCTCGCAATTATCTTATATATATACATCGTAGTATATTTCTTGCAGACAACCTGAGTACTACGCTCGATTTCCCCAAACCTTATAAAAGAGACAAACTGGATATTTATAGACCAACCGCATGTAAACTGTGGTGGTGATATTGTCGTCTTCACTTGCTGAGTGTGAATCACTTTGGCTGTATAATACTGTGGCAAGCAACCCAGTTATTTACATTGATGTCACTGAAATGATCAGAAGGTGTGAAGAATGCGTTGATAGATTGCTGGATTTTAAGGCGATTTGTTAATTTACCGATAGGGTTAATGGGGTCATATAATTTTTGGTTAGAATAAATAAAATTTGGGAGAGAAAGTACCGGAACATTGAAATAGAGATTAGAACTGATGGAGTTAACAATTATTAGATGATTGTGTAATTAAGCAACTGAAAATAGATCAATGGTAATAAAGAATGATATGAATTGGAATCAGTCGGTTATGAATGATGTAATTCTAAACTTCGGAAAGAGTTCGAATAATGAATGACGTAGTAAGTGAAAACAGAATAAAGTAATAAAAAAGTGGGTTTTAATGTTACTGTGACAAAGAAAGATCTATGAATGTCTTTTTTCGTCAGAATTATTTAAACAGCTTTTCGTTGCTCTTGTTGTTGTTGTTGTTGTTGAGAGTATCGATGTTAATAGTTGATTTCACCATGGTGCTTTCCTATATTTTGTAAAATATATATTTTTATTGCTGTAAAATGATTAGGCTGGTATAAGTGATTGGTCGTACATTTTTTCTGCAAAACATTTGTCAGAACATTTCAGGTAAGCTAATGTATTTGATGAAAGATTTTAGTAACCAGCTAGAAAATTACTATTCAGTTGCGTGTGTTTGTTTTACATATAATTGAAATTCCGATGAAGGTATGTAACAAACCTGACGATGGGTGTATATTCTATTGTAACTAAGTATAATCAGATAACGGACTATACTGAGAAGTCGTGAATGGAGGACATCCTACAGATGTATTTCAAGTGAAGACCGGTGTCAGACAAGGCTGTTTACATTCACCCTTTCTCTTTCTTCTCATGGTCGAATGGAATGTTAAAAGCTTCACTTTTCGAAAGAAGCATGGAATACGAAGGACAATTTGGATATCAATAGACGGTTTGTGCTTAGCAGATGGCCTAGCTTTTCTATCCCATACACATCAAGAAATACTGGTCAAGACAGCCAATGTATCAGCAGCCACTGCGTCAGGCAGTCTCAACATACAAATATATGGACTTAATATGTCGTTACTTGTAAAATAAAGTGCCAGTTACATAATATACTCTTGTGGGCCAGGGTAATTTTAAATTGGTTTTCAGGGGAACCAGACACCATCCGGACTTTCACGTAAAAACCCAAACGGTACAGCTCAACCCCGTTTAGCGAGGGAACCAGACACCGTATAGGCTTTAACGCTACAATTTGAATAGTACAGCTCAATCCTGTGGCGCAACCACACAGGTACCAAGCACCCTGGTGGACCGTTTGCACCATTCATATACACACTCACATCACATGTATAGTTATTCCGATCAATGATCGCGTGACTCAATTATGCACAGCACGAACAGGCCAAAGTTGACCTATTCCGCTTACACGACAGTCAAACTCGTTAATATTAGCAATGGCGGCATGCCTTACAATGTCCCAATGACAATGGCCCTCGGGAATGAATATACTTTTGGTTGAATTTTTACCGTAAAATTGTATTGAAATTAAAATCTGTCGAGTACTCAAGCTATTACTTCATACAGACTCCTAATGTAGGCTTAGAAAACTATTAATAACAAGCTGATTGATAGACAGGTCACAATCCAAAAAAGCATGATGTACTTACCTCCTAAAGCAATATGTATTTGCTCTGGTATCTGAGATTCCATATATCCGTATACATTCCAAGTTCTAACATGATACAAGTTAAGAAACAATGGTATAATAACTAGAATATACATTTTATACTAACACTATTATTAAGTTTCTATCTTAATATATGGAGATGATATTTATATATAAATGGATAAGTAAGATAACGAACTGAGTGTTTAACAGCACATTTATGTTCCAAAGTCATGTTTTATGATATATCTATTATTACTTACAATTCTAATCAATAATGTTTAGTTCTGATCATATATGTATATAGACTTTGAACACTTCCTGTTTATCTATTGAAGAATAAACAGAGACTACTAGTTATATTTAGATAGAAACATAGATTTTGTTATTTGTTGAATTCTATTTGACTTCATACAACATGCGATTAAATGACAAATAGATTAGACGAAATTTAAAATATTCCTTTGAGCGTCAACTCTTTCTAAGGATTATTAGAGAGAGGGTTTGTGGAGACTGTAGTGACTTTTAATGGTTGAAGCAAGACCACCATGGAACACCTAAAAATACACGGAACGGTCGTTTTGTCCTAGTATGGGACTCCTCAGCAGTGCTCATTTAATTATTTCCAAAGATTCACTGATAGATTTATCTATTTATTTATTTAATTTACTGTTTCGTTTTGAACTATCATCCAATATTCATTATTGAATGTTCTAAATTTTTGTTAATTGCAAAGGATTAATCTACATGTTTATGTGAAGTCTTAGAAGTATGAATAATTCAAATTAACCAGTGAATAGATTCATTTAGTATTGTCTACTTGAATCTTCCCATTGATGTTTAGGACTGAAATTGATCAGTCTCCTGTTGACATATGTGCATACTGTGCATGTTGCCTCGATAATGCCTTAACACACAAGCATTATAAGCAAAGATGGGCCGAAAAAGTGACTAATAGAACTTAGTAGCCACGTGGATAACGTGATGTTATTTGATTCGAACAGTACTGGTTTCCAGACCTGGAATAAACATCAGCATTGCGATGCAAGTACATACAGCTGACGAGTGTCACGCATTCAACTACTAGCCTTTTTCCATCTTTATTAAGTGAATAATTTGACTAATGTTTGTGATCCGTGCAGACATGCTACAATGTGAACAGATTGCTAGCGATAAAAATGGCAGTTGTCTTTAGCTTCAACTAAAGAATCAGCTTCAGATTTATAAGATTACAATCGTTGTGCGCGCTAATTATACTGATATAAGCAGTATATGACGCGAGTGAGGAATGAAATGTCTATTGGCACAAAATGGGGAAGACGACCAAGGCAAGTAGGAGTGAAACCTTGATGCTCATTTTTCAGTGACTATTTCGTGTTCGTGTGGTTTGTTTTAGGACTCCGCTTTGAGCTATTTATACTCACAAACCTGTGAGTTAGCCAGTTGTTTTTGGTTGACACACAGTCGCAACTGCTCAAAGAAACGGATTGGTAAATGTCATGCAATCGATTCCTAGGATTAGTAATTCTGTTTGAGTGATTCACATGAATCAGGTCAACACACTTCACAAATTTCTATTCAAGTCAATCGAGATTAAGGTTGCTGTGTGTTGCGAACTCGCTCTGCTGTGTCCTCATCAAAATTGTTATTGTGATATGAGGATCGTGGCCTGATGTGGCGAGGTGAAACTAGTTCACAGTGAGGATTATTCAAGAATCGATAGGCTTTACTTTCAGTTGATCAGGTCACATGTGGGTAGATAATGGCGTTGAACGGTTTTGTTGAACAGCGAAACGTGTGATGGTTGTTGTGCAGGTGACAATGACTGTGTATTTCGAATTACTCGTTTGAGTATTGTGAAGCATACGTCGAATTGTTCAGAGTCTAATTCGCATATAAAAATGAATGTTTGCAACTCGTGTGTACAGAATTTCGACCGGATTGCCAGCCCTCGTAAACATGTGTGATCAATTATCGGCATAATCGATGATGGACTGCAAACAAGTTGGTTTAGCCCAACGATTGAAACAAACAATAGCGAAATCCTTGCATCATTGCGCAGAGGTACTGTTCAGCATACAGTCGATTTTATTCGAGTTCCATTCTGAAATATTCTCACTCAAATAAATGTGAATCGACTAATCGTCCTTCGTTAAAGCCTGATTGATATTCTTCAGGAAGATCACGTTTAATTTCCTCGACTCACCTGTTGAAATTCCGACCGTGTTTGAAGTGCAAATACATACGAATTCAGTTTACAACGCTTTTAGTCAGAGGTGCCGTTTGCAATACAATGCACCCATATTAGGCCACAACCGTCATCACCGATCACAACCCTTCCTATTTACCACAAACGACAATAATCTATGTTGACTGATGTTTCCTGTTCCCTAATTGCTGTTGAGCATGCTATTCGTGTTGTTTTGTCCCCGTTCAATGAACTGCATTCTCATCTGCCTTTTGCATACTGTCGTTGTTCGCTTATGTATTGAAATCAGATAGAGCCTGGTAGGTCAGAAATCCTACTTCTTTTGACTTTGACCGTGCTTGAGAAGATGAAGAACGTGGTACTAGAATGGTGGTGCTGAAATCATGGTGTTTGATAAACGAACACATTTCGATGCAGAAAGCAATGTCACATGCCATAGATAAAGACGTCAACGTTAATTGTTTGGAGATATGTGTTCAATGGACTGGCGCAATATGGATTTTTTCACACCGAATATAACAGTGAAAGCCGTAACTTGAAACGAGCATTCGCTCAGCAGGTGCAGTAAGACAACGTTATGGAAGGTAAATAATGCCACTCGAAGCCATTCCATTTTACAGTACTACTAATAATCTACGACTATGGAGAGAGAAACATGAGGACAGAGAGTAGAGTTTGACAACACCCAAAGCAGTCGTGATGCATTCGACAGCTCAGTGAATGAGATATATTTTGTCTAAACTATTTAACAAGGGGAAATAATGCAAACGTAAACTATCAGATTGATTGTAGTTTCGAAAAGAATGTTGACAACGACATCTATGAAAAATGTATTGTTTGAACAACCTGGATAATATAGTGAAATAAATAATCACTGGTGTGACAACAAGCATAACAGTATCGAAGCAGGAAAATTATCCTAGTTGCGGGAAACAATAGTGTATATTACAATCCGGAAATAAAGCGTTTTGAGAGTCGACTTGTAGTAAGACAATGTTGTGTTGTTAAACGGTTGCAATTTTTGTGACTTGGTCAACCAATGTAGTTGTTGAAATCAGTCCTGTGATTTGCTATCGTTACCTATCTCCAATTCAATATTTCTGCCAATGAATTTCTCAGCTAACTTCAGCTCTATTCTCAATGTGATTTTCATACTAATGAAAATGTATGCCGTTTGTTATTATGTGAAACCCCACTATGAATTGACGTTGAACAAATATTGAGAAGTGTTTCGACACACAACTCAGTAAGATGATTCAAAGTAAACCAGTCTATCATCGAAAGGGTAGAACAGATTTCCATTATTTCGGTTTCGCATGTTCTCAGAAGTGGCGGAATAGTAGAGCGAGTGACATGGTGTAAATGTAGGATATTCGCGATGGCATTTTGCTGGTTTGAATTTGGATGGAATGAAAATCCCTCTATAAATCTTACGATTGCTTGACACACTAAGTTAGTCCTTCAAATGCGACTCCTGTGTAGTTGTAATGAATGCAAACTGGAGACGATATTTTGCAGAGTTACATCTAGAATTTAGATTCTTGCTATTCCGCGTACAAATTCAGCACTCAAACACTTGAAACCTCCAAGCCGCAAGTCTGTAGACAGAAGACAGGTGGGAAGAAATCTTATTCCAAACAGTGTGATATATGGCACAAGACACTCAAGTATTTATATTATCTAGTATGAATAAATGTATCATTAAATTCATCTAATGTGCATACAGTTGTTTCAAGCATTTGACCAATCGAGAAGCTACCCGTGGTGTTCGTATGCTAGATGAATAGAAAGGGATGGTCAAACAATCACTTTTTGTCATCACATCTATGTTCTCGCATTTATTTTGCTCTATTCACCGTTTTCTTCTACCCATTATATTCGTAGTACTTGAAGTATGCATTTGTTTTTTGATTAAGATCACAATAATAAAACAATCAGTTACCGCATTTTTGTGATGCAGGAAATTTCGAACATCACTTGTTATTATAACTAATTCTTTGTGTAATAAAATTCAGAATTTTACTAACCTATGGTTACCTCAATGAGTATTTTGTCGGTCACTTGTGAGTGAGACTAAAGAATGGAATTTATAATTGGTGCCTTGTAAGGACATTTCGTCCTTAACTATTTATAACATAATAATAATTGAGCAGTAGGTCTCAATATTCACAAAGGGAAAAGCAAGATTCTCCGATACAACACAGCATGCACCATTTGTAGCGACCGAACAACCAATATTCGGATGGAACAACGGACTGACAAACCCAAAATTTATTCGATTTGACCAGACCAAGTTCCTCTGTATAGCTCACAACACGTCTTTCAGATACTCGTATTATATTATATCAAAACACAAACTCTGTGCTCAATATAAACTTTTCTAATTAAGAAAACAGAACAAATTACATCAAAAATACAAAATACCTCAAACGGTACAGCCTGTGCTATACAGTCAGGAGTTTCTCTAACAGAAAGTAGCGCGCTAAACAACGAAAGAGGCAGTTAATACTAAAGGGTTCGATACCTGAGAATCAATACAAATATTCCCAATAAGATGGGATCAAATATCTCTCTTCAGGGATCGCAGCAGTTCTCCCAAGCAGACAGTCAGAAGGTTAACAGTCACAAACTAAACCACGCCGTGACCTTGAGCTTAGTCAAACACGACATTACTGTCAGTGGTCCGGCAACATGTGATTGAAAATTAGGTAACAAGAAATAAGTCTTTAATCAAAATCACATAACAAAGGCTGAAACGGGGAAGACTGAAGAACAAAAGACATGGTTAAGCGAAATCGGAACAAATGTTAAAATACACAGAAGGGTAGATGAAACAAATAAATGACAATACTGTTCAAAAAAGAAGCTGCAGAGGGATTTTCACCGTTCTCTTTCCGTTACACCATT